TATTCCTTCTGATATATTAGATCAATTTTCAATAATTTAAAATCCCTTTTTTGACAATACGTTTGCTAATTTTGCATAAATAGCTTTTCCCGTTTCTCCGTGTGGACTTTGTAATTTCACTTTAAAAGTTTTTACGACGGAAATAGACTCAGATGGCATTAAGTTTTATTTTTCCAAACGTGTAATATACGTGAGCGAAAACTATAGTTTGAAGAAGTAAATGCTAAGTTTGCCTTCAAATGTGACTTGTTAATAAATGTCTTGAACTTTTTGGATGCTGCTCGCGTCTTTTTCATCCAACTTGTTCAAAATATTTTTACAATTTGATAATTTGCACTTAAAGTGCGAATGTAACAAAATATTCACTTAAAGCGAAAAAATACCCGAATATTCAAAATATGCAAAATAAAAATGATTGTTTTAAACTCGTAGTACTATGCGACAAATGTCTATATTACTTAGCCGTGTTTCGAATGATTATTGGAAAACACGCAAACTCCTATAAGTCCCTAGCCTTAGCCCCTAGCGGTAAAACAATTCCGCCAATTTACTATCACAATACGCCCAGATTTATGCCCTGCGATTTGAAGTTAACACTAACCACTGTAGCCGATCATCAATTGCGTATATAGCTGACTCGCGGTTATCCAATGCGTGAGAATCGTTTATCCGAATTATGTATGTCGAGTCGACACGGGAAAAAATGTCGAAGAACTCGATTAAGCGGAAAAAATCGTCGACGAATTTAGGAAAAATAAAATGAAACTGTGACTTGTGGTGGTCAATAAACATATTTGCAAATACACCTAATACATCAACAAAAGTGTAGGATTATTAACAACGATTAAAACTGTCCCTCGTGAATGTTCACCCCCGGGGCGCCTTCGGTAATAATTAACTATAATATTATGTACGGGATAAAAAAAAAAAAAAAAATCAATCTTATATCCGTTGTCGCCTATTTGCATGTTATTGTTTAATGCGAAAGAGCCGCGTGTACCTCAGACGCGCGCGGCATAAAATAATAATATGACAATATTGTGACGCCGGTATAATGCCCGCGGTCTTCGTCGCATCATCTCGCACTGTGGGAAATTTTACTTTTCGTTTTTTTTTTTTTTTCCGAGTATATATGATAATGAATATACGAGTGTTGTACCACAGTATTATGCTCGGGTGTTATAAAATTGGCGTTTTAAAGAGGACGCCGCGCCCGCGTGGTTTATTTATTGTTATCTGCATCTCCGCGCACACACGTCTAATCAAATATAGCGAAAACACAAATAATATTAGTTTTTTTACTTCTACGGCAACATTATCTACGCCGGGTTACATAAACACTGCGCGGTTATTGGACACTCGTGCCATTATCGAAAAACGATTTTTGGAATATCGAAATACTCCGCGTACAGACCGCACGGCTGTGCGTGGCACGCGGGCGAGTGATCTACCGCGCGACACAGTGCAACGATATCCATCATCGCGTAGACGTTTTTCTAAAATATTCAAAGATTTCACGGTTTCGAGATCGGCGGCGTGGCCACGGTGCAGCGCGTGCCCGCGTGAAAATACTGCTTTGCCCACTCGGTTTAATCTGTTGGGAAGGAGCGGGAAAAAAAAATTAAAAAAAAAAAAAATTAAGCGGCGTTATATACCTGCGTGAGTGAGTGCACGAGATAATAAATGTGTCGTACGAAATATCATATCGTTTTATTTTCGGTCGTACATGCAGGTAAAGGTAAACGTAGTTATACTTCTGAAAATAATAATAAAAAAAAAAAAAAAATCACTTATTCCCGAACGCATTCTTAGAAAGAAAGAGAGGTAGAGAAAAAAAAAAAAAAAAAAACAACTGATTGTGATGTTAATATTATAATATATTGCGGTGGTACACGCACGCGTGAGAACCGAACGACGTGACCTTGACGGGTGCCCGATGTGATATTGTAATAGTTGCGCATACGGCCGTGTGTAAAATTAACGATAATTTTTCGGCGGGATGCGAACGACGCAACGCGCCCAAGAGCACCCGATACGGTAATTAATATGATATTTCACGCGGGTTACGGCAAAGCGAGTGAGCGGACGTAAAATATTATCGGGTGTGTCATGTGAAATCCGCGAATCGTTTCTTTTTAATTTTTTTCCCTCGGACACGACGCTTTTCGACAATAACACACACGGTCATTGTTGCGTTTTAATAATGATAATCGCGCCGTCGTTAGATTCCGCGTTATTACGCTGTTATAACGAGACGATTAAAATACCTAACGAACGACGGCGGCGGGAAGAGGGGACGCGCCGAGATGACGATAGACGGTCCGCGCGACAGACACGCAGCGTCGTCAAAAAAGCGTTCCCACACACACACACACACACACACACGAGTCTGAAGAACGTGTGGAAAGAAAAAAAAACCGCTCAGTCTAGAGACGGAGAGAGAAAAAAAAAAAAAAAATTATCGATAGGTCTACACGACACCGTTACGTTATCGCGCATATCGATCGGGCGAGTGTAATAATTCCGCGCGGTCGTACGCGTCGATTTGACACGTCGCCGTCGTCGCCGTCGCCGTGTTCCGGTGTTCGAAACGAAAAACGATTACGCAGCCGAGAATTGTCTGCTGGCGAGTCCGCGTCGACGGATGTGCAAGACCGAAATTCTCGGAGAAAACGGACGCACGGTGGCGCGGACCCGCGGACCTAACCCGCGTTTTCGGCGATTTCGCCGCGTCTCGATTTGGTATCGAAAATAAAAACCGAACACCCCCCGGGTTACCTCACCCTAAAACCGTTTGAACTTCTCCCATGACTCGTCATTCTTTCCCCGACTTCCCTGACAAGACGTTTTACCTGCAGACTCTGCGGCCGACAACCCGTACGCATTTGTCACCGTCACACAGAATTGCCAAAAAAAAAAATTCCACGAATAAATGGCAATACTGTATCGAATTTAAAAAATTCGTTCTCCGATCGGAACACCGGCACTATATCGGTGATCCGGTGCAGACACGTTTACCTTAAGCAGCGCCTCGTGGCACTGATCCGTTATTGCTCTTCCGTAAGAATAGGCACATATTTTTACAACGCACTGGAATTCCTAAATACATTTGTTACATTTTGTGCGCGATTCGTACTCGAACCACGATCACAATATTTTTGCTCTGTTGAGCTTATATTTACCGTGGGACGGGAATAATATCAACAAAAATTTCCAACGTCTCATGAGATTTCGGATCGAACTGTTTTCAAAAGTAAGGCTGTCGAATTGCTGTACTTTAGGCTGCGACGGACCCGTTTTTATCTGAAAATCTGTATTATTTGTGTTAATTGTTGAAAAGAAAAAAAAAAAAATCCACCGATGATGAGTTTTATTTTTACGAGTTTAACATATATGAGAAATGGAAGAAAAAAAAAATACGTTTCCGTTTTAATAATACCATCGAATAGATTTTTTTTTTTTTATCGGTTGCTGCAATAAATTTAATGCTTACCGAATAACTTCGCACGGGTATACGTGCGCGGTAAATATTCAAAACGCTGCAAATATTTGTAAATATTAAGATTTCATATTATAATATCGAATAACGAATATACGGAGCGACGTTAAAAAATATATATAAAATATGTTTTTTCACGTTAGTTTTGTTTAAAATATTTAAAAAATCAATCAAAAAAATAACCATGACAAAAACAATTTATTGGAAAAAAATTGTTCGTTGGTCTTTGAAGCGATCCCCTTGTAAGACTGTAAAAAAAAACAAAAATACCAAAGTTCTTTTTCTTCTACTTTATCCTCAAAACGTTTAAAACAAAACAATTTTAATTTTCAAATATACATTTTTACCTTATACTCAAACTCAAAACATTTTATTTATTTTCATTACCATTATCTTCATTCTTCGTTCCTTTAAAAATTACAATCAAGTCATATAAATTTCACGGATTGCAATGAATTGATCACAAACAATTAATCGTGGCTACAAATTGGTCGCCCAAAAAATGAATGCTTTGTACAGACTTTTACCAGTATACTATTACTATAGTAATACAATAATAATTATGACTAATAAAACTGAATAATTTGTTGTTATACATTATATTGATTTTATTAAATGTGTTTTAATAATTTTTATAATATTTGAATGGTTTATAAAGGGCGTTAAAAAATTAATAGGACTTTCACAATCGGGATATAATAGATTTTTTGAAAGGAATAGCCCATAACTTTCACCTTCAACAGTAAACAATTTTTGCAACAGTTTTTATTTCTTTTTTTTTGTAATGATTTTTTTTAAATTTTATTTAATAGGTTATTGTGTAGTATAAACCAGAAAAGTCTATATAAATCAATACCAACATAATTCATTTATTTTTTTTTTATAATAGCCGCCACCAATTTACTGGATACCAAATTTCACTGCTTTTGATATTGTTCAGCTTGGCATTTCCTCCCTCTTTCCATTAGTGGACCCATAGTGACAGGGGCATTTATATATGTTTATATAAATAAACATATGATTTGTATATTACTATTAAAATTCAAAAGTAACGTTGTTTTAACTATAAAACACAAAACAACATAAAATGATTTTAATGTATTACCTAAATTGTACATTCCATAAAATGTCTAGGATATATATATAATCAATGGCATAACTAAAATTTCTAATGCCTGTAGCAAAATATTCATGACTAACCAAATTGGAGCATAAATAGGCCAATGTCAGTTTTTTATTCACCTGGCTGTCGACTCAAAATATTGCCTCGGGTCTTGATTTGGGGCCTCTTAATGTCTTGGCCCATGGCCCGTGGCTTGGTTTTTTAACAGTTATCGTAGATAGCTGAAACTTTCAAGTATAAGAAAAAAAAAAAACAATTTATTCAATTTTTTTTAATAATATAATTATTATGTATATTATCTTATTTTTACGATAATATTTTCATATATTCTAATGAGGGTAAATATTACAGTTTATTCAGTTTATTAACCTAACCTAACTAAAGTTCAAACATGCTGCTCAATGAATCTAATGTATTATTTGTCTGTAATGCTTCTTGTAAATCCTCTCGTGAGTTGGGCTTCATATTTAATCCTCTCAGCTTATGCCAATCATCAAACAATGCTAGCATAATAGCTGAAAATAAATAAATAATATTTTTATCAAATTGAACGCGATTATATAATATAGTGAAAATCATTAAACACATTTTTTTGATTGCCATACCTTGTAAACGTTGCATTCGAGATGGCTTTAAAGATTCTTGTCTTTTCAATTCATCTTCTTTAGAAATCAACTCTAAGTATTCTTTTGTAATCGATTCTCCGTTGGTATTTGGATTTACTGATAACTGTTTTATGGCGCTAATTAGCTTCAATTGTTTGTCATTCTTAATGTCAATTTTCAATTTCAAAATTATTGCATTTATCATCAACATTAAACTACTTTCTGATATCTCTATAATAAATAAGTAATAAATATTTTTTTTTTTATGAAGTTATAAAACTATTCTAAGCAATTTACAAAATACAAACCATAGACCATGTCCAATTTAATATTTTTTCTAGTTGCCTCTCTACTAAAGTTGTCCTTGAGAATAGAAATTGCTGTAATATTGTCCGTTTTTATGTTTATTGATCCCCGGCTTAAACAGGAAAGTAATGATATATAATATGGACGGTCATGGCACCAAATGTAAATAAATTAACTAGTTACCTATATGAGCACAATAAAATCATATCTGTTATTATCGATTCGAATAAATACTCTACATTTTCTTGGGAACCTGGTTTCTCAGGTATTCCTGGCAAGCAATTTGAGAGCCACAAATGAGCTTCTGAAAGGCTAAACCCACCAGAAATTGTTAAATAACTCTGAGGCTGATAACTGAAAAACAAAAAAGAGCAATTTGTTTACTAGTTGCTTATTATTAGTAAATTTCTATGTGTAGGTGCCTATATTCAATAATATTAATCATCATATTTTTTGTCTAAAACAAATTATACAAATCAATATCAATTTATTCTTCATTGATACTTTTGCCTATGGCAAACTAACTAACTATGTTTTTGGTATTACAATGTTTCTCTATATTTGTATCACAAAAGTTCTTAAATTTGTATGATCCGATGAAATAGAAAAAAAATAGTGGAGAATTAGAATCGGTAACAATAAAAACTTTTTAGAGTATAATTAATTCAGCTATTTATAACTATATTTAAAATTGTATGTTTTATTTTTTGATAATAATATCAAGGTAGGTAAATACAGTGGTGGTCATTTTAATAAAAAATTAATTTATTATCCAAATGTATTGGATGTAGTGTTGGAACATATATTCGGATTTTTAAATATCCGCATAACTGGATTCTTTTACACGGATAATTGATGTCATAAAATCCGAATACTTTCAATTATCCGTAATATTCAAATATTTATTGTACTCAGATTTCTGTACTTTCAATGTTTTCCAAGTATCTATATATTTTAATTTTAAATTTATATCTCAAATATTCTTGAATACATTTTATGAATATTCAATTAATAAAAATATCAAAATAGTAGATACATACGTATATTACATCTAATGTCCGAATATATCTGAATAGTATACGAATATTTGAATTAATTTTTATCTAGATTTTAAAATATCCGAGTATACGGATAGTTCCAACACTAATGTATTGCTAAAAGAATCACTGTCCTTTCTTCTATATACTCCAGAGCAAATAATTAAATAATAAATAATAACGTATCTACACAACTCACGTTATATTCTTGTTTGTTCGCTGATGAAACAAAAGTGGTTTAATAGGAAACTTACAAACTTGACAACTTTTAGGTTGTAATAAAGGTGTAATGTAAGCAGTTAAAATTCCATGATCGCCTTCATGGGACCACATTTTTAATTCTAATTTAGTTGTATTTAATTGACATCTGTATGTAATCAATAACTTATTATCATCCTAGAAAGAAAACTGAAAGAATTAATATGCACATTTAAATAAAAAAAATCTATACATTCACGACAAAAATTACCTCTTCTTTACATTTGCTTTTGCTCACTACAGCAGTATTATTGTTTTCTTCATCAATAAAATTAATGGAACTATTGCATTGCAATAAAACATTATCAATTGTCGCTTCCAGTTCAATTATTAAATGGTAAATTAAATTGTCTGCATCTAAAAACATCTATAAAAAAAAACGAACACAATAACTTACAATATTGATTTTTAAAATAATTATAGCTTACAGTCTTTTTGATAGTCAAATAAGGTAAAACAGATGGTCTTGAACTTTTTTGTGTAAATTCCAAGTATTTGTTCCTTTCTATTGCAACCTGCCTCTCCAGATCACTTACCTCAGTCCTTGTTACAGAAATGTTAAAATTAGAGCAATACACTTTTAATAATAATCGAGACCATTAAAAGCTTTTAAAAGTTTAAACTTATAATAACAAATATCATAAACCTAATTAACTAAAGAATACATCATACAAAATTTTAATTTTAATTAAGATATTTACTGTATATTCTTGTAACAATAACCAATTTTAATTAAATGCAATTATGTATACAAATAAAAAATTTAATCACTTGTCATTTTACCTAATATATCAAGTTTTATTTTATTTAAATCATCCATTTGATCTATCTAATTGTGTGTTAAAAACTAATAATAATAGTATCAATATAATCCCTCCTCACTCCCCCCCACCAAAAAAAAATTAGCATTATAGACAGTTCAGCAATCTAATTCAAAGTTAATATATATATATATTTTTTTTTTATAATATTGAATATATAAACAAAATATGGTTCCTACTAAACCTAACTATTATAGAATATTATGTCTGAAGTACAATATTATGCTTACCTAATATCTAAAACTTTTTGCTTTTCGTCATTTAAAATTATATTTGATGATTCCATAATAATGTCTTTATCAATATGTTGATCAACAAAAGTTAAACCAAAAAGCCAACCTAAAATAATTAATTCACATTTTATAAATTCAATTCTGTTTATGGATGTTGAGTATTCATTTTAACCTAACCCGTAAAGCTTGTTACAACAATTTCTGGCAAACCGAAATTTCTTATAGCTCCTCCTTGAATTGATGTTATGCTTTCTGAACAACTCTAAATAGCATTAATACAATGAATAAATAAATTCTTAAGTATAATTTTATGATAAATTACATATTTATATTTTTCAATAGGAACACAGTGAGATTCTAATGAATAAACCTCAACAGAACCACTTTGACGCCCAATCAAAAGGTGATCTTCTCCGTTGAACTCATAACAATCAATACAAGTTATGGTTCCTTGTTTTGATTGAGTTTTTAGTTCCCAAAGAATATTTACTGAACTATTTCTAAACACATTAATTGCAAATTATTAAAGTTTTTGGTATCTATTTTATTAAACAAGCTTGAAGCACACTTTTCTATTTTTAGAAGTACAACATGACCATTTCGAAGTCCAACTAAAACTTCATTTCCGTATGAACCCCCGTTATTCTTCATTAAATGCAAACAAATTGGCTCTGATGATAAATAAAATGTTTCCTTTACAGATGAACTTTCAAGAATTCTAAGACACAAGTCTGCACATGCAAGAATAGGCATCACTCCTTGCATCTAAAAATTATTTGAACACAATCAATTATATGAAAAAAAATATATACATACAACATTATACAATCAACATGAGACACTCATTATCACAGAAAATATTAACTATTTTGAGAATTTGTTTTTAGAACATTTAAGAAATTACTAGCTCTAAAATGTTCCATTACTCTTTTTTTTTTTATGGGCTGAAATCACTACCAACTTTTGATTTTCAAATGGTGACCTACATTAAAAATTTCAGAATATTAGCTAGAATCAATAGAATCAATTTTGGTGTTAAAATTATTAATTTCTGCTAACCCATTGAGGAAATATTCTACTTTTAGGTTTTGTCAAGGGTTGAGAGCGGTGCATCATTTGTGTAGAGGCATAGGGCGCAGTGTTTTAATAATGTTTCATCATTCTCCTCATGCCGAAACATAAAATGGAATATGTCATCAAGAGATTGATGGAAATTAAAAATATTAACACTAAAATTAATTTTAACTAAAACTCCATCTATTTATGAAAATTTGAATATAGGTTACTATTTTAAAATCAAAAGTAGGTAGTAATTTCACTCCTTAAAATAACGGCGACCAAAAAATAACAATGTAACATTTTAGAGCTGTTTATTTCTCAAATAATTTAAAAACAAATTCTAAAAAAAAGTTAACACTTTCCAATATAATGAATGCTTTATGTAATGTTGATTACCTTGTACAATTTTCAATTTGAAATATAGTAGGTACCTTTACAACATCTAGTGTTATAATGCTATTGATTAATTCTGGACACAAGTAAGTGTTGCTATCCTTGCAATCATTAAAATGATTAAATATATGTCTACCTGATACTAAAAGTTCGTTTCCAGTAACATACCTAATATAAAATTAATGGTACACATTTGAATCAATTTTTACAATAGTTATTTAGAAATTTAACTTACATGCATTTAATAGGTTCTGATAAACCAGTATCGAAACTAAGAAACATCCTTCCTTTTTTGGTATAGCCACGAACTATTGTACCCATTGACAAAAATATCTTATCTTGAACAGTACCTTAGAAGATAATTATTTTTGATGATTAATAAACATAAAAAGTAATGCCCCAAAATCATAAATTAAATACCAAGTGCTCCCCCTAAACAAACTTCAGTTATTTGTTCTACAGGTAATGTTTTAAATAACATGTTGATTTTTCCTTTTTTAATTTGAAACATTTGAACAATCCCTTCTTGATCACCAACAATAATCTACAAGAAAAAAAAATATAGTAAAAATGTACACCTTTGAATTATTACGTAGAACTTTACTTTTTGTGGCTTCTTTTCAGCTTCATCATTTTGTGAAATTGGCAAAACTTTCATGCAATTTGGGGAAACCATACCCAATAAAGTGTAATCTACTCTATACAAGTCCATATTTATATAATTTTATAAATCAACACGATTTTAGTTTATAAAAAAATAAGACTTATAAAGTACTACTTGTCTGATACTATGATTTGTGATCACATTAAATGGTTGCTATGGATATAAAACTGTAAACATACTATGTTAAGATGAAAAAATGTATTATTTGATTTGATTGAATACCATTGTAATATTAATATACTTAATATTATTTAAAAATAAATAAATAAAACAGTTAGGTATTTCAACAACATTTTATTTTTAACTTACTTTATAAATTTAAGTACAAATTTTTAACATCATTTACAATTGATAAAAATGAAGATTCTGTAACATCAGTAAGAATTTGGGACACACTATGTTCAGAAATTTCTGAAAATTCAGATTTATCTGAAACAATATTTATTATAAGTTGTTGATATATACTAAATAGTTGATAATTTGTATCATATAATTGTTAAGCACTGTAGTGAGTTGAATTATACTATTTTTATTAAACGTTTAAACAAATGTACCTTTAAACACCAAGTGACCAAACAACTCACAAGTTGCTGGAGCAAATTTATCCATACATTTATCACCTGGAAATGTATATTTATATTTCATTATGAATTAAAAATTGGTTCAAGAAATATTAATAATTACCAGATGGATATCTTGCCCAAACAAAAACTCTTACGCAATTTCTTGTATTAGTTAAATCAGTGGTATTTAAATCTTTGTTCAATGCACGTGTTATATAAATATTATGAGGAATATTATTTTTTTGCAAGTAATCAACCAAGATAAAAATTTCCCTAAAAATAATAAATATTTCTATAGCAAATAACCAAATAATAATTGTATATCAACTTAATATAAACACAACAAAAGTAAATTTACTTAACAAAATCAGATAACGGATCATTAGGTTTCAATATGAATACAAATCCTTTGGAAGGAAAATCAACAATTGTATAACATGGACCACTCAACTTTTCTATATCCTGCAAATTAATAAATACAGTGATATGTTTTGTTTAAATACAAACTATATGTAAATAAAAATATACACGTTTATCATTTTTAAACTTACACAAGTTTCAAGATACATTTTATGTGGTAAATAATACAAGTGCAAGTGAAGATGATTCACTGAAGCAAAAGCACACAAACTGTTGAACCCAACACGTATAGTCCTAGAAAATTTTTGATTAGAATATTTATTATATAATTTACAAATAATTACTAAAATAGTAAAATTGATTTACGGTGATGCACTTAGGAGTAACAACTGAATTGAAACATTTAAAGCACATTCATTAATGACTTGTGGAAATTTACAATTGATTTTTGGTAAAATTAATGAATGGAAATCTCCCAACGGACTAGCATTTATTGCTAAGGTGTCATTTGTATCTTAAAAAATACATAATTTTAATTTAAAAAAAAATAATAATAAATTGTTATTTTTACGATTAAATTTGTGCAAATTCTATTCAAATAAATTTGATACTCAAAATTATTTATACTATAAAATATATGATAATTATCAAACTTATATAATTAAAATTAGCAATTTCTTACCAAAACAATCGCTTGATACATTGGTAAATTTGAATAAATATTCTTCGGGATTAACTTTGGTAAAATTAAATAAGTCTTCATTAAAAGGTTCCAACACACTAGCAAATGTAATCGGTTTACGCCGTTTTGTACCTCTATCTGTGTTCAACTTCAATAAACAATAATTATTACAGAAAATTAAATAAAAAAAAAAAAAATGGGTAATTATATAAGTAAAGTAGTATCTTATACATTAAAATGTATAATTATTAAACATTTAATTTAAAAACTTACAACAGCGGGAAATTCATATTTGCCAGGTAATTTGATTAACTTTTCTATTTTATAGGTGTATCTAAATAATCCCTTTTCTTCCTTTTCTCGCCACAAACATTTTAACTTTTCATCAAATTTTGATTGAACTGACAATGATTTCCAAGACGTTGTATAAATAAAATCATCATTATTGTACTGGAACATTTTCTAAATAAAATATTTTACTAGATAGATTTAGGTAGTAGCATTACTCTAGTAGTCTTATCTCCAATAATTTAATACCTACAATTTCATACAATATGATATATGCCAATTTAACGTTGTCCAAATCCAATTGAAAACAAAATTGAAAATATAAACAATGTAAAGGTAAACGTTAGCATGCGTGTTCGTCGGTTATCAATGAAATTATCAGGTTATTTAAGTGATAAAAAAAGTAATCAGCTGTTGACGTTGTTAACAAAATGACAGAATCTGACCATCAACAATGAAACAAATGGGATAGGTAGAAATAACAAGCATGTTATTAGAGGCAAAATAAAACCCTCAGTTAAGAAACTTAATCGGATATAGTCGAGATAATCAAAAAGTACCAAACTTTAACTTTAACTGTATTTAAACTCTAATTTGAATCTAACCGTCACAATTGTAAAAGTACGTTATGAGCTCACACTAATAGCGAGCCATACTTTGAACGCATACCTATACATTCATCGGCCAAAAGGCAAAAATATTGTTACCGAGCTAATGTCAGATTTTAAACGAAAATAAATCCCGAATTGTTGACGAAATCACGTCAGGTAACAGACAACCAAACTAGTCACCTGGTAGTCGAGCTGACCGAAAAATACCTAAAGTTTAAAAAAGAAAGGGGTAAGACAATATTTTCGAAAGCACCACGTTATTTTTATTTTTCTAAAATAGATAAATATCATGTTTAAACCATCATCATCATGTTTAGACCTATTAACCTAGATTAATAGGCCTGTGGTTTAGACATACTAATCGATACGTTGGAAATAGATCACATCTAAATTCCTATTTCCTATGTTACATATGTGTAAGAGACAGTAATCACCTCTTCCAATCCCCTTAAATTGTGTAACCTGTGTTTAACCTATAATAAATGTGAATTTCAACACCGCAATTTTAAGTTGTAATTGTAGTTAAAGTCTAAGTTAGATACGCAATTTTGATATGTCAGTATGTCACCATAATTATAAATACAAATACCTACTTAAGTACTTATTATTAAAAATAAACGGGAACAATAGTTTGGTATTGCCCATAAGTATCCTATCCGGTTAGATACACAATATTGCATCTAATTATGAATAAAAAAACCTATACAGAATATAATTACAATTTTTAAATGGATTTCATATTCATTCTAGGCATACGTGAAATTAAATTATTATTTTCGATAAAATCATCAGAAATATGTTAATCAGTGAAATTGTTTTGGTAGGTTATGTATAGGTAAGCATCTAACACCATAAAATAAACCGTGGCCCAAACTACAAATAGATGACCTTCGTAGTTTACCATCTGTAATTTGCAAAAAAAAACACTGTGACTATAAAATAAATACCTACCTATAACTTTCAAGTATCTATGAGCTACTGTCGTCTGTCAGTCAGTATTATATTGAGGGGAATGGTAAACTCCTCCAAAAGTTGGTAATATCCTGTGTAGGAGATTACACCATGTTTTAAATACAACTAGAACAGTAATTTTTGTAGGAGTTTACATGTAGCCTATATTGATCATTTGTTCTTCAAATAAATTCAAAAAAGTTTAGCGTAGATATGGCTGCCAAATATTTTTTTTTTTTTTTTTAGTTTTCATCATTAATCAATGTTTGATAAAATTTGCTAAAAACACGAACATTTATTCGGCATTTGCAATAATTTATCGTAGGTTCCAGTCTAACCTACCTACCTACCTTCCTAAATCCTTTATAAGTCCGCGCTCTTGTCTTCCGATTATTTTTTCTCATTTAAATTCTAAAAAGAATAAATACCTATTAGGTACCTACCTATGATACCCGGTCTTTGAAATACTTCAACTCCTATAAGTAATCGTAACTCACTATCATACATACCTATATAATAATGTAATAAAAACTATGATGAATTTAAAACACAAATAAACCATTCAGTTTATACAAGAAAAATGAATTTAAACATTTAGGTACATACTTTTTATATTTTACATACAAATTTAGAAACAGCTCGTACCAGTACCAGTATAATAAATAGATATTTGAATGTTTTTTTAATACATTTTTAATTTATATTTTTATAAAATTTTAGATGAAAAAAATGTTATTAGATATTTTGTTATAAAATTAATAAAAATTAAATTTGCTTGCGCTTTGGATAGAGGCCTACTATCTAAGTAGATATTTATTGAATATCAAGTCACATACTGTTGTTGAAACAATATATTCAACGATCTCAATTAATGTATAATTAGGTAGCAATTATTATTTTGTTTCTGTACATAATAATTGTTATTTGTCAATTATAAATTACTATTTAAATATCTAGTTTTTTTTTTTTTTTAATTGGACATGACGTTTAATAAATCAATATTAATAATAAATGCATATTTTATTTTGTTGTTGTTGTATATTGATCAAATAGAAAATATGATCATATTATTATTTATAATCACAGATCCATAGTACCTACCTAATAAAATACATTATTTTAACCATAAGACATAATGCTAAATAGGTAGGTACTACAGGTACCTACCTACATCTACTCTCAACTTTTTTGCTTATCATTTAAGGTTTTAATTTAATTAAACTAAACGCGTAGTCCATTCAGTAATTATATATAACATATGATAATTGAATCATGGTATATTTCACGGTTATAAATATTGACAAAGAATTTCAGATATATATTATTTTCCACCAAAAATACAGCTTATAAATGAAAATCTATTGAACAAATTGTAAATAGATTTTGGTAGATATTTTAGATTTATTTATTTTCATAGAAGTTTAAAAACATTTCATGTTAATATCTTTAATAGGAACAATGCAATTACTAATATACAGTATTTTTTAAACAATGGAGCGACAAAAATATATATTTTGAATAAAACTATTACAAATTATTATAATAATAGTTAGAAGAACTAGGTACCTAAAAAGTTTTTATTATACTTATTTAACCGCAAATAACAACTAAAATAATTATTGTTTTTCTTGTTAAACTTACAAACATATTGGTATTGGCCGTAGATGACCTACCTATTCCTAACTTATTAGTTATTGATAAAAAAAAAGTAATGGAATTAGTTTTATAAACATAGGTGGGTACCTAGTTATTTTATGTCATTGTGCAATTAATATGTAAATTATTTAATTGAAATTGTATGAACTCGTGAGTAGATTGAATTTTTAAATTCACAAAAACAATATTTATCTTATTTACAATAATTATAAGGTATTTTTTTTTTACGAAGTCATATCTGAAAATTTAAGAGAATAAAGCCGTCTTCACACGAGGCAACTCCCAGGCGACGCGACAAATACTCGAGTATTGTCTGTTTGAGTTATTTGTTAGTGAGATACCCATAAGCAACCCATCGCCACACACTGAGCTACTCTGAAGATACTGCGAAGTGACGATATCTTTTCAGTCTAGCTTTAGCCACCATTTGCTTATATCCTTTTTGCTGAGTTTTCATTATGTCGTTAAATGGAGTTTCGTCAAGTGACTATCATGTAGTAGTCACCTATCATTACAATTATTATAGACAAAAGAACGTGGTGCCACCTTTAAATTGAAAAAAACATTCAATGTCGCTTATTTGTTGCTGCTAAAGAGCTAGAAAAGTCTGATTCTAAGTTTATAGCATTCTATCATATTTAATAATATACAAAAAGAAAAACATTGGTAAACACTGGAAAACACATGTAAATATTCGGAAGACGCAGACGACGGGCGACCTTCCTTGCAAGTCGCGCGAGACTGGTAGAATACACGTAGGATACGCGTCGCTTGGGAGTGGCGTCGTGTGGAGAGGGCCTAAAAGTAAATACGAATATTGATATTAAATTTAATTAAATTTTAATTTGTTTTGTGTAATTAAATTATTGTGATTTATACAATTGTTCATTAATATTTTAATATTACTCTAAATTTTGTTCATTTGGTGGAAACGAATATCGGAAAAGGGAAAGGTACGTTTTTGGCGGGAACCGGCCAGAATAATATAGGAAATAGGTATATTTACAACCAGGAGCATGGTAGTTTTCGGCCTTATGTTTTTGAAAATGATCGATCCAAAATGTACAATATTATTTGGCCAATTCCCTTAACAACTTTTTTTTTTTTTAAAACGCTTAAAAATAAAATAAATATAGTTTATAAATAAGTCATCGTGTTGGCTCTATAAAGCCACTGTATACTATACTGTAGAACAGTAGCACCAACGAATCGGTGGTTGGAATAGACACACAGATATTTGTTTACCTGTGATCTTAAGTATGATCCTAAGGAAACGTTTCCATTATGCAACCTGATGGCATACCTACGGTGTTTGTTTATCCGAATCACGAAAACTTCCGTATTAACAGCTGGTGGCCGATATTCTGCGTTTTTTCAAAGCATATTTATCGAGTTTCAGAGATTCAAGGCCCCCCGTTTATTTACTACGGGAGTGTCGAACTATTGGTACAGTCGTGGGCCAGTCCGTTTCGGGTAGTCGGGTCTCCGTAATATAACGATAAGACGTGAATAACAAAGTCATACAGATAACAAAATAATAGAACAGTGTTTATAATAATAATTTAAATAGATATAGAGGAATATTTATGGTGGATTTGACATTGGGCAATGATGACACGCGGAAAAATCAAAAGCGTCGTTTTAAATTGCATCGTATCGTGCGCGGTCAAAATGGCCAAGTGGTTGTTATTGTTATCGTATACGATGATTTACGGCCTTGGGCGAGATTGATAATAATAATAATAATAATACAAATGAAGAATCGAAATCTTGTAAGCACGACGTAGGTTTAGTTAGATTCTGTTGCGTAGTAACGTAGTAATATTATTTAGAATTTTCGAGAGCAATTATTCTGTAAAGTCAAAAACAAAAGTACGAACTATAATACTATACATAAGTTAATAGTTTAGGATGTATACTTACAGCTATACTGGTAGTTCCAGAGGAAACGATCCACTTATCGTTCCTTCCCGTTGCCATTTTTTTATGTGTATGTATAGTATGCATTATATACGTACAGTGGCGAATTTTTAACATTTTTCAGGGGGGGGTCTTGAAAAATAATATGTATTGCAAAGGTATCTATTAATAGATGTCTCTTTTTTTAGATGACATTTTATTGAAATTATATCGGTTTTTAAGGGTGGCAGACCCCCTAACTCCTAATAAATCCACCACTGTATATGTATTGTCACTAACCACTGTAATAAGTAGTGTACTTTTATTTGTCCCGTGGTGGACACCACATTATCACTTCTTTAGCAGCGTCTTATAATGGCGGGACAGTCATGGATAAGAAGAAAAAAATAATAGTGAAAGACGAGTAGTGAATAGTTAATTTTTTTATCAACAAGCATATTTTATATTGAAAAAATGATTATAAAAGATAATTTTTGTATTAGTTTTTTTTTTGATACCTAAAAATGTATGTGCTAAAGTCTAAAGATAGACTATATAGAGCATTATAATACCTATACGCTTTATAGTTATCTATAAGTAATTATTGTACCACATCAGATGAATTATCATGTCCCTAAAAATGAGGAGGAAGTGAGATGTATATGTATTATATGCAAAATATTTTCGCCTCCTCACTTGAGGAAAGTGTGGTGTTTACGAACAATGTGTAACGAAGGGATTATGCTATTGATGGGCTGGGCACTTCTGAATAATTTACAATATCGATAGTTTTCAATATTTTGTATGAACTATCGTATGTTTACTTCGAATTTTATTTTTTCTGTGGCCGAACAGTTTTATTCGGAAAAGCTATCGAACATTTCGAAAAATTATTCGAATAGTTTTTAACGGATAGTAACTATTCGGTTGTGCCCATCACTATAGGTGTATGCGTCGTGCAGGTGCAGATTCACATTTTCTAAGTTTTTTAGAAAAACGTTAAAATATATTATCTATATTACCGAGTACCGATTACCGAGAACTATATTTCCGTATTATATACCATGTACCAGAAACAAAATGCATATATTATCGTAAGGTTATTATTTATATAGTCACGACTCGCGACGTAGAGAATGTCACGATACGGTATAGACATCTTATAAAACACTATTAAATAAGATCATTTGAATTTATTATTGGAATAAAATATCACGGTTAATTCGAAAGATAAATTATATCGCGGTAAATACCACAAGGGTCATGACGAAATCAATAAACACATAATGGCCTAGTGAACTCCACGAATAAACTCTATGAGTACCTAAACATTAAACCATGGTAGGTTGGAGGAAAATAATCTACTTAACCTAAAGATTATAATAATGTACCTATTATAACAACGAAATTTTACTATGTCATAGGTATTTCTTTTGTTTCTCGCTCCTTACTTGATAAACGATAACATTTATTATTGTCAGTTATATACGATCGTACAATAACTTTTAAATTGGGATTAATCAATACAATTACATTTGTTATTATTTTATGAAAACGGTTTGTTTTTCACATCGGTCACGGAGAAAAATAATTTAATTTTAATGAACTAATATTTCAAAACAACCAACGAATAATATGACAGAAGATTTTTGAAGATACGTTAGTAAATACGTAATCAGTACAACCAAGGGTGGTTGGGAGTTATAATCCCTCTCCCAGAAACTTGAGATTTTTTACGAATTCTATCTAATACGTATATTGCATAATTTGTATTGTAATATTATTACAGACATTTCCTTGTAATTTTACATACGTCTACATGTCACCTATTAGTAATTTTTATTCCAAAAACCTGTCCAGGAATTTGTTTGAAATTTATCACCAATGGGTTTTTTCGTTTTAGAACGAAATAACTGTAATACTTATTATATAGCAGTAAGTACAGTAATATATTATAGATATTTTGAAAACGTGTTATGAAATTTTATTTGATTTTTAGTTCGATAGGTATTTTATTAGCTTTAGTTGTTCACGTGCAAGGTGATGTTTATAAACGAAAAGAAAAAATATAAATACAATGTACAATAATTCATAAATGATTTGTCCGCAGCTATGTTCGTATTAAAGCAAACGAGAAATGCCCAAAAAGTAGATAGGCACTCCGATTAACCCTGACACCATTATCATCATTTCACGAGATGGCGTGTTTTTAAGCATCGTTCAACACTGCAAATATACGCAATTATACCTAATCAAAGATATTCGTGATTTTAACTAAATCTACATATATTGGGTATAATAATAGGAGTTGTGCGAATTTATAGACATTTCATTTTTTTTTTTTTTTTTTTTTAACTTTATGAAATATACATTTTTGTTAATACAGAGTTCGAATTGTGCAATAACCAGTAGAAAACATTGTTAGGTCCTCTTCCTGAAAAGTTATTAATTTTTTTTTTTTTTTATAATTCACAAATGTTTTAAAATCAAAAAGATTGAATAATATTTTTTTACAACACGAACTCTGCAGAGATAGGTCAATTCAAAATAACATTAACGAATAACGCGATAAAAAACTGTTGGCTGCGATAATGATAAGATCTGAATAAAATCCCATAGAGTGACTCTATATAAAATCCACGTAGTCGCAGTAATTTATTGTGGTATTTAGCACAGATAGGGGAAATGTCTTGGACTTGTTCTCTTTCTGTACTAAACACTTACTTTAGCTGTTGATATTTCAATGGACTAGTCCCATTTTTACATGAAATATGTATTCAAGGTAGATAAATAAAAATTCGGTAATAACTTAATTTCGTCAGAAATTGAACATGCCCCCTTTCTGAAACTAGTGATTTATATAATATTATTCGTGATAATATAAAACAATATAGTTTAAAATACTTAGTTTTCGATAAACTTTAAAAATATGATATGACCTTATAATTCATATCTGTAGTCAATCGAATATGTTTTCGAAATGTCGCATTTTTTTCTCGACTTAACAATACCAGCAAGTATGTGTATACCAACGTAGATATTTAATAACAGCCCGCGAGCGTAGAAAAAAAACCGTCTATTTTATTTTTTATTTCCGTCAACTATAATAGCACTATGCACCTTATTGTAATGTAATATTATATTTTATAGTTTTGTCGACTGGTTAGTATACCGTAGGAATCGATGTGGGGTACCCTATGTCTATAACGATACCCGGACGAGGCACCGCAAGGTCGAACGCGATGAATATTGTAGCGATAGCCCGCATTTGTGGATACTCACTCACCTACCTACTGTTCAACCGTCGATACCAATCGCGTTTACGGGCGGGTCTGGTTACCTACACAACACAATAGTACGGTATAACATTGTCGGAAGAAATCGTCAGGGTTCTACTCGAATGATCCGCCAATGCCAAAACAACGCGAACGATACGCGCAGCGCAACACAATAACAATAATATTGTTATTGTGGCATTAGAGTGTTGGGGTCGCCGCCTATCTTTTTTTACGCGCAGATCGCAGCCGCGCCGTCTCGCACCGTTGGTACGCGTGCTCT